GGAAACAAATGTGCTCCTACAGTAGACCATGGCCTAGGCAGGAACTCAGCTGGTCTAATTTTTATCGCTGAGATTGAGATTCTGTCATGGCTGCACATGTCACAGTTTTCTATAATTTGTGTTAGCTCTCTGCTGAGGCCTGGCCACCACACTGAACGTTTGGCTCCCTCTGTTTTTTGTTTTTACCACATGGCCCTAGTGCAGCTTGGACAGCATGTCTGCCCTGAATTATGCTGGAATGACTATCCTTCTGCCATGTAGTTGCACACCATTTTGGACTGTGAGATCACCTGAGAATGGCAAATAGGGCTGGAACACTCTTTCAGTAGAGAACTTGTATGGCCATCCTTCTGCACAGAACTTGGATTTATCTTAGCCTCTTTCTGTGTCTGTCAGACTTACTATGGCATAGTCAACACAAAGGTTGATTTCCTCCTTCAGCAGTCCCTATGCAGTGGGCCTATTGCTGTTCAGTGCTGCTGGGGGCTCTTGAAGCATATGCCACAGAAGAAAGGCGTGACAGCACCCTCTGCAGTCTGTCATCCCGTCTGTGTGGCTCCCAAAATGAGCTCATCATCCATTTGACACAGAACACCCTTCAGGCTGCAGGATGCGTGACTTGTGTTTCTGGAAGTGTTCTGGTGCTGACGAGATTCTAAAGCACAGGCGATTGTAACAATCAGCCGAGATGACTCCTTGGACAGTGGAATCGGTCAAAATCCTGCGATGGCGTCTAGCTTTGAAAACTCTTTGGCCCCAAAAAGCTGTCCTAAGGTGTGTTCAGCTGAAGGGAGGGGATGCTTCTCTCTCACCCCTGATTTGTTCAGCTCAGTGAGATAAGTGCATATTCTCACCTTGCCCATGCCTGTGTGTTTAGGCACCACCACCATCGGCACACACCATTCAGTAATATAACTTCCTGTTGCTCTATACGGTCGAGCTCCTCTTTAAACTTTGGGGGAGTGGGAGGTAGATGCACCTGGCTATTGAGAGGGAAATGGGCTGAGCACCTTCAGTACAATACTGTACTCACCCTGCATTTGCCCAATCCAGGCAAAACTTTGGAGTCGAGGTTGACCAACTGCAGTGCCACTGCAGCAAGCTTGCTTAGCAGTGGTATGCACAGGTCCTTCACAACATGTATTTCCTCCTCAGTTCTCTCACTGTTCTTACTGAGAATGGCTGTGAACTTCCCTTACACTGTCAGACGCATCCCTCCTGTCCCCAGCAGAATCTTTGTTGGCCTCTCCAGCCTGCAGAACTGGCCCTGGATGTACAGTGTTTGTGGTATTGTGCTGACATCTGCGCCAGTGTCAATTTTGAATAGTGCATTGAGATTATCTACATATATGTTTGTCATCCATGGACTGACATTTCCAGCGGCTGACAGTGAGCCCGGATATGCAACATCTTCATTTGTTCAATCACCGTTGAATTTCACACATTTTTTTGGTTTTGCACACCTTTTTCCTGTAGTTATTGCACATTCCCTCCTTGGCAGGACATTGTTGCTGGCTATTCCCTCTTGCATCACTGCATGTTCTGCATTATGGCAGGCTTTCCTGCTGTTCTTTCTTGTCTGTCTGCCTAATTGCTCTGAACGTGGGCTGTTGCACTGCTGTGATAACACACTGTTAAGCTGCGTGTTGAATATATCCGCTAAAGTGAAGTTTAAGCATTTATTGTTGCTTCTTCACCTGCTCACTCTGTCTAGCTTTGTTAAAGGGGCAATATGTAGTTTTCAGCGGCCACTGTTGGTGCGGTTTTAAGATTTCAACCAGGTGTGTACCTGTGCGTGTGCTCAGCTTGAACTCATGAGCGAGAATAATCCAAAACACAGCCGCTTTAATACAGAGATCCCACAATAAACATGAAAACACTGGCATGGCGGCTGCTTTTCATATAGACATGTTGAAGCTGTTATTACCAATGTTGGCTACGTTCAGACAGCCCATGTGACCCAAATCCAATTTTTTTGCCCATTTGTGACTCACACTTGATCTTTTTATGACAGTGTAAACAGGCCAAGTCACATGGAATCTGATCTTATCCAGTTCAAATTTGGGCCACTATATATATGTGGTCCAAATCCGATACAGATCACGTATTTTTAAATGCGACTTCAATCTTGACATTCGGAATTGATACGACTTTGACGTCACTCTAGAGCAGCTATTGTCACAGTTATGCTGTAGACGGAGCTGCGGTGAATGAAAAAGCTCCACAAAACCCATAATTAAACATGTGGCTATCCTTCTTCTCTACCTTGCTATCATCTGCTCACAAATTCCCTTTATTCCACTTCTGAGTTAGGCGTATCTGCACTTGTCTGTGTGGACACAGTTGGGAGAGAGAGAGGGACGGAGGGAGTGAGTTGTGTGGCAGTTGCGTGGCAGGTGCGTTTTACAGCGCCAGAAACCGGTATGAAAAGGACAGAAAGTTGTGAACAGTTGTCATTATTCGGGAGAAATGTGACCCGTGAGAGGACAATGAATAGCAAGTATAAGCTAACCAAAGCTAACCTCTGTTGCTCCTTGTTGACTTCTGTGCAACAGTGTGCTGTGTGTGATGTTGTGTTATTCTCCTACGCATGTGGGTCACAGTACAAACTGAAGTCTGATACGGGCCACATTTAATAATGTGAACTGTCAAACAAAAAAATCTGAAAATCTGGAAAAATTCGGAATCCGGAATTGAGCATTAAGGCCTGCAGTGTGAACGTAGCCTAAGTTAACGTATTGAGGGAAGTAGCTACTGCGGTTAGTTTGTTAGACTGAGGACAGGGCATGTGTTGACAATGTGCCTTTAAATTTGAAAGAAATAATGATTTGACATTTATCGTGTTAATTATTGATATCAAATGACATATTTTAACGTGATAACATTTTTGGCCACAACGCCCAGCTCTACCTTTAAGTAGATAGTAAACATGGAAAAGGAGTGTGGAATAAAGATACTTAAGTTGATTTCAGGTTTTAGTGTTTGTATGTGGGTGCTTTAATGGGAATGTGGATCTTTCAGATCAGTTTGAGAAGTACAGTACATATGATCTCGTTCCACATTTAATTGTGTGTCATGTAATGTGGGGAACTGGTCTTAGTCTTGACTCAGTTTCGCCCTCCCTCAGTCTTGGTCTCGATTTGGTCTCAGCCCCTGCTCTGGTCTTGGTCTTGACTTGGACTCGGTTTGGGCAGTCTCGACTACACTATCCTTGATGTTAATGCGTGACTCTGCTGCAGGTCGGTAGCAGTTCAAGTTGACATGTTATGTTGTTGAAGTGAGCTGTTAGCCAAAAAGCTAAAGGAAGAATGGAGAATAAGGGAGATGGGTGATCTTTTGACAGCTGTAAGTACTGCCATTATCATGTCAAAGTGCAAAGAACAAACTTTGTGTGACCAGCAAAAATCTTTCAACAGCGAACAATTCTACATCTAATTAATATCTACTAAAGCAGCACAGCAATGTGAAACTCACCGGCTGCTACTGCTAGTGGTGCATGCACTCGGTAGAGAGTGGCGCTAAGCAATGTTTTGTGTTTTGTATAAACACTGATTACTGCTCTTGCAGTGACTTAACCAGCGGTGAGTAAGATATAGTATAAATATGTTATTTGTTAAGCTTTGAGGAGAGGAAAAGCCCGCTAGCCACTAGGCAAATTTATGCAGTTTACAATGTCATAGGCGAAGCTAATAATTTTGAACATAAAATAAATCTTGACAGCCGAATTGTATGCTTATGTTAAATGTGATTGTTAATAAGGCATGTTTAATGTGTGGTGGAGTCAATTTAAAGTTAACTTTGCTGCACTTAACGAGTAACAATTATTTTATGTGTGTTTTTTCCTTTATTGCCAAAAAACACTGAAGAAAGAGCAGGTAGCATGAAGTGGCCATCACTTGCATCTTTGTCAGAGGAGGATAGAAAGAAGAAGAAGAAGGAGACGAAGGAGAGCAACACAGAAAATAACCAAAAACAATATAAATACTTTTATATTTCCCCTTACATTCCTTCTTGTTTATGTGTAAATACAGAATGGGAGAACAGCACATAGCTTGTTGTTACTGTGTGATTATAGAGCATGGGAGAACAGTAGATACTTTTATTACAGCCCACACCCCTAGAAGTACTGTGTAACTACAGGATAACAAGTGGAGAACATTCAATATTTTTACAACTATCTGCTTACCTTATTATTCTTGTGTAATGTGTTTAAAGAATGAAAATAAATACTAGGTTCATCTGTACCCCATTAAACATTTAAGATTAGTTATTTTTGATCCTCCTTCATATACATTTGGAGTGGTAATTGTCATGAGTTGTAGTTTTTGCCATTTGTTTCTGGTGTCCTTCTGTTTACCTGTTCTTCTTGTTTCCTTGTCCTTAGTGTTTATGTCTTGTCTGGTGTTCTAGCTCGTAGTCCTGTGTTGTTTTGATATTGCTTTGGTTTGGTAGTCTACTTGTTATATTGTTTCTTAGTCACTGCCTTAACTCTTGTTCCTGCGTTTTAGTTCTTTGTCCTTGTTCCCAGTCCTGTACCTTAGTTCATGTTAAGTGTTCACTCTGGTCTGTTTTGTGTTCAGTAACCTGTGTTCCGTCTGTTCCCCCGGTTGTCACTCTGCCTGCATGTCAGTCTCTCTGTTTCCCTCTGCTCACTGTCTCTCTCTGCCTGCCTCGTTAATCTCATGTCCTTCACCTGTGTTGCTCCCGCCCTGCTCATTAGTCCCTGTGTGTGTATATATACCTGGTGTCTCTGTCTTGTCTTTGTTGGGTCATTGTATGTTGTCACCCTGTGTAGCAGTGTGTTTCGTGTCGTCAGCCTCACTCGTCGTGTCTCCCTGTTTCCCTGCCATTATTGGATTTTGTATGTTGGACAACCTTTGTTTTTGGACTCAGTCAATCAGCCACTCTGTTTGTAAGTGTGCTCGCCTTTTGTTATATTAAAACCACCAAACTATACCTGCTCCGCTCTGTGTCCTGCGTTTGGGTCCTCCAACCTGCCTCCACACCACCGATCGTGACAGTAATAAAGGAAGGCGGCCTTATTTAATGCCTAAACAATCTCTAAAACAGAAAACAAAACGTAATGTATAATTAGAAAATTAAGAAAAAGGCTTTTAGTGTCCACTTTGACCACTCTTTGCCAAATTGAAAAGGTTTAGAGCTTATAAAAGAGAGGAAAACATCAGTTCTGACTTGTAGAAGTGGCCAGTGGACCTATTTTTGCTGCATCATTACACTTTTTTCACAAGGAGGCAGTGTTGTCTTTTTGTTGAATAAATTCACACTCAAAGATGAGTGAACAGAGGTACTGAGAACATCGTGAGAGAGCAATAGTTTATTATTTAAAAAGATGGTAGGAAGACACACAAAGCAGTAATGTATGTAATGTATATAATATTGAATATAAGAACAGATGATATACTGTATCTAACTTCATATCCCATTTAAAAATTAAGTCTACAATAAGACTTCTGATTTATAGCCATACTTCATTTTTGGCCATGATTGGCTTGTTAAAGTCTAGCCTTAAAAAACCTGCATGTGCTTGATTTACATTTGTAATAAATGTTTATTAACAAAAAGTGTAATTAGTGATGTCCGTAGCCCCCTGCTGCAGAAAAATATTTTGAGTCAACGCACCAAACAAAATTATCATTTGTATAACCTGGAAACATAGTTGAAGATGAAGTAATGAAGCATTGCTGTGGAATTATTCTCCATTATTAGCCCTCCAATGTTACACAAACAGTAAATTCAAATATTGTGATTTGATCAAGTAAGTGATAGATCTAGTAGCGCTTTCCACTAGTGCTCATAATCAAACTGATCCAGCTTCTATAGTCAGGAATCTGACTAAAGGTTTGCTGGCCATTTGGGTATTGTGTGGTGAAGGACACCACCGCATATGCCTCCCCATCTTCACAGACCAAGTCTCCCTGGAAGTACATACACAGTATGCAGTGATTTCATCAACTCTGAATTAATTACTATGGTTGACCAACATATGTTGTCAATGTTATGTCAGAAAAATGTACATACCTCACCCGGTCTGGTCTATCCCTCAGAGCAGTACAAGTTGTGCTTACGATAATGCTCACTGTCAATGAGTGTTACATTGACTTCCATGAGTACTTCTACTACTAATTTCTCATTGTCATAACTTCCCCAACCAGAGACTATACATGACTTTGGGAGAGAACCATCATCCTGGCCTGCGAGAACAATTGGTCTCACATTTTTGCTGAATTTTGCCTTGGAGCTCAACATGAGGAACAGAAACGGATAAAAAAAAAAAAAACACAAATATGAAGTTGAAATATCAATTAAAATTTCCCTAGTGCTCACATGTGCCTGTTGTCTAATACATTTCCTGCTTAATTATTGTTCATGCCTACAGTATTTCACTCATCCTCTTGATAAATGCATTCAAGAGAGATTTGCAAATAACATAATGAAAATAAAAAATGGAAATTATGAAAAAAAAGCTTAACCAAATGTCAAAAAGCACAAGAGTTTAAAATACAATTCTTTTTTCTTCTACCTTAAGAAGCATTATGTCATTATTATGAATTATGTAAAATCAGTGTTGTTGAAGTCTTTATGTGGAAATGTTTGTTCCACAGAGATACTTTGTCCTTCACTAGTCTTACGGACATCGTGAACTCCCAGTAGTACTATGTGGGACCTGAAATGACAAAATAAAATGCAAAAACATGTTTTTCAGTGAGGGCATTGTGTAAATAAAATATGTCATTTATTGGTGCATTTTTTATTTGAAGTTTAACTACCCAAGAATTCCCAGTAGGTAAATATAAAGTGTGTTAAACTGATCCATTTTGGCAGTGGGCTGCAGTCATCACAAAATCCTCATTCAGAAGGAAGCCACCACAGTGTCTTGTAGTACCATCCGGCATGTGCCGCACCAAAAGCACCATGTATGGCCTGCTATGTGGCACAGCCTCATGACCCCCATAGATTTCCCCTGTATGAACTGGGAAAAAAGAAAGAGAAATTATTTATATATATTAACTCACAAAACTAAACTGACCATTGATGTCCTCACTATATGTGCCCAAACTGACCAAAGAAATTGATTAAAATAAACAGATCCATCCTCATGGACTGTATGTAGTGCCTCATGTGCTGTAGTCGAAAGCACATTCTGCAATGCAAAAGTATAAATACCACTGTAAATACGCTACTAAACTTACCTTGGCCATCAAGAGTCAGCACGAGTATCAGTATTACCAGTTTACAGTGGATAAACATGGTGAGATCAGTTCAGCTGATCTACTGAAAAGCAGTGGCACACATCACATCTTTAAATGCTTCCTTCTATCAGAGAGAGAAGTGTTGGTGTAGTTTGCATATGCTGTTGTGGCTTTGTACCACATTTGTGAGGAGGAGTGCTATTTCACCTCCACAGCATGACAAAGATTTGATTTTTCAAAGCACAAGTCTTAAGTTTTTAGACAATGTTTAATTAAGTAAATTTGGTATGCGTGTTAGATATACAATATGTAATGTAACATTATATTTGTGCTGGGATGAATATATGAATGTGGTAAATAAAAACATGCAGCCATAACACAAATACTGACTGTTCAAGTGAAGACTGAGGTCAGTAGGTAAGTAATGCTTTTTACTTAAGACTCTTTGTTTTTACAATTATCTGGCCTGGATTACCATTTCCATAAATTTACATTTCATGAAAAGCCACCTCTTAATCATGTCCGTGACCTCAAGTTATCTTCAAATTGAAAACCTGAACATAAATCAGACCAGTGTGTTGATCTGTAATATGACTGTTCATAATTTCTCCACTGATGCCTCTGTGTTAACACTCCATCCTCAAAGCTCTCTATTGGCATTTCATGTTCAAAGCTGTGGCTTTCTCAGCAGAGCCCCTGTGTTTGTCACACAGCCCCAAAGGTAACATTATTCTCATGTTATCACGCCATGTAAATAGGATTTGTATGAAAGTGAGGTTTGTGGAACTTAAAGTGAAATGTGACCCCATTCTGTAGGAGGGAAAAGGAGATCAGTCGGTAGATTGCATTTTTATAAACTAGCCTTATAGTAAAAGTATCTCTGTCAGTCCGTTTGTTTTAAGCAGTGAGCCACTTTAATAAACTCTTTATTAAAAAATGTATGTGTAACATAAATCAAACACAATTTATAAAATCTGTTTATAGCTTGTGGGTTCTTCAGACCTATTTGTTTCAGTTTGGCAAAAACGAAAGAAAATACACTTGTGTGGTACTGACTGTGTTTTAGAAATCAGTAAGAGATGAAAAGGCAAGCTGGATGTTAGCTCATAGCAATGACTGTGGATCAAACATGAATGAAACTCTGTAAAGAAAAGATATGAAGAGATTTGCAACACTGAAAACAGTGATGGCTATAACCTGTTCCCCTTTTTCCACAGTGTAGTCAAGCCTAAAAGTATGCAGCTTACTGACCACAGAGTACAGATTTGTCTGTTACATCACTTCTTCAGTCTAGACTCAAGTATGTCCACTTTATATCTTAGTCACAAACTTTATTGTAATTGTTTTGAATGATGCACAATAGAGTTTTCATGTGTTAAAGAAAGGGGGGAAAAAGGAGGTGGGGGAAGATGAGAAGGAAAAGAGTGGACAGGTTTTTGGGATGTGAGCTCCTGGAGTCCAGGGCAGTAATGGGAATTACAGAAGGAGATGCAGAGAGGAACTTGCTTGGTAGAACAGGACCTTTACGGTTAGCCCGTGACTTTTATTGGGAACACGGGGCTGAGAAGACTGGCTGGTTTAACCATTGGACACAGCAACAACGAAAGAGGGAATGTAATAACAGCTATTAAAAACCATCAATCATGGTGCAAATTACATGTTTATTAAGAAGAAAGGAAAATGGCAACAATAAAAGTCAACAGACAGAGACATTCATAAAACAGTCATGATAGATCGGAACTTGGATTTAACAGAAATCACATATGTTAACAGAGGTTTACAACCCAAGAGCCATGCTAACTCATGCCTGTGCTCTTATATATTATATTTTGGTCTCATATGTGTACGTGTGTGAGTATTTCCAATAAGCATGCGTTTCTTCTATTCTTTCTCACTGTCTGAGTCTGTACTGGGTCTGTTGTAGCCCAGCGTTCTGGAGGTGAATGTCGCCAAACAGAAGCACTTCTTGTCCACCAGCAAGGAGAGGTCTGGATTCCAACACTGTAGCTTAGCCTCTGTGATGGGGAAACGTCACCACTGTCAGAAGAAATAAGACAAATGTAAGACAACAGAAGTTTAACAGAACACTGATGATGCATGACCTCTGTACTTTAATCAATTTCAAAACTGAAACATAATCCAAGGTTATTTTGGGAAAAATGTAATTTAATAATTTTGTAGTTTAAGGTACAGAATCTATGTGCTCCTCCATCAATTTTTAAAGAATTTTCTAACGTTACGAGAGAGCATATTTGACGAACTGTGCTTACTTGAAAGATGAAATCTGCAATCAATAATTATTTTGTTTTATTAGTGAGAGCTGTAGCTTTCACACTTTTGTTCTTCTATCAATCTAGCATTTATCTATCTTCTCCTTTACCGTTTGTCCTACAAACTTCGTTTGTGCTATTACTTTTATTGCTGAGGCCTATGTATTTTTTGATTTTATTTTAATCTTTTTATTCATTTTAAAATGAATGTGTTTCAATGGGAGTAAAGACTTAACTTTCATCCAACCTACTCAACATTAATTAAGCTTACTGCTATGGCAGTGCAGTTACAGACTTATTTCTGGCAAGCTTAGCTCAGTTGGTAGGGTGTCAGACTAACTCCGAAAGTACACTGACTCCAGCTACAGCACGTTACGGATCCGTCCTCAACCTGGCGTCAACGTCTAGTTGAAGGGTCTCAGAAGCGTGTCAGCCTGTCCCACTTTATTAGCTTGTTATTAATTTGTCATTTTTGTGCTTCTACTACTTCTTCACAGCTCCCTGTGACCCTGCTTCGTTCCGTCATCTGCTGGCTGCATATCCCACAAGGAGCATTTCAGAATCAGAGCATTTTGTCTGCCCGATTTGGTGACATGTTTTGTTGATTTGGTAATCAGTGCTTGCTTTTTGTGCTTCTACTATGATTAAGTAGGCTACGTAGTTAAATGATTTCTTTTAGTGTCTGTTTTAACCGTGTTTATTGTTGTTTAAGATCGGGTGTCTCCACAGGGTGTTTTATTTTGAAAATTGACTGGATTCTCTATGCCGTTCTGTGTCTGACTTCCTGCCTGGTTCGATGTACTCTGTGCTGCTTGACGTGTCTTCAGTCAAAAATATATTGGCTACCTATTCTCTGCAGAGTGGACAGCCAAGTCTGGGACGCGCTGCGGCAAGTCTGGTGGACTCACAAGCATTGACTATAATGCTGCGTTCCATTTACCTCGGAAGTCGGAGGTCGGAGCTGGGAATGACGTCACACCCGAGTTGATGGCGTTGCAGTTAACAAGTCGGAAAACCTTGCTTAGCCAGCTGTTTGTTTACAACTAGCCAGGTTAGCTATTGATACACCGGTTGATTTAAAAAAAACGCATTGTGCGGTATTTACTCACACTAAACACTGTAGCAACACGTCCACATACAGCTGTTGGACAGCACTTTGTGTATAAACATTTCTATGGGTCACAAGTACACAGAAGTGCTAATAAATAGTATAAACTACAGCTCTCACTAACTGTTGATACCCCGACAGCCATCTTGGATCACGAAGTCGGGGTAGTGCGGTTCTCCCGACTTCCTGGGTCGGAAATCCGACTTCAGGGGGCTTTCCAGTTGAAAGTTCCAACTGGGAACTCGGAAATTCTGACTTCCCATGTCAAATGGAACGCACCATAATGGCCCTATTAATTCCGGCACAGCCGTGACACGACCAGAGTCAGTGGACTTTGCGGGCATCACCTTATAGTGCCACAACGGAGTTTGATCCCCAACTTCGGCAAGTCTAATGCTGGGTACACACCAAAAGATAATGACCAAATGATTTTTGGCCGATTCCCCCCCTTTCCGACAATCCTAGCTATGTCCCGATTATTTTGATGGTTCTACAGATTATCTTATCAGATTCTCCGTTGGTGTGAGGTGTGTTAAGAGTGTCCGAACCTGATCGAAAGAACGTCGGAGGCGCCTCGATCGATCAGAAATCCTGATGTGTGGGGGGATCCCCGAGGACAAACACGCGCACGTTCTGGAGATTATCACGTGAAACGAAACAATATCCAATCAGAAAGCAAGATGATTGAAGACGGAAGCATAAGAAACACAGTCATGGCGCAGCACAAGGTGAAATTAATGTGGACAGCAGAGATGGAGGATCAGCTTGTAGATTTGTGGCAACAGCACGAATGTTTGTTCAACGTCGCAATTTCTTCTTCCTGCATATCGTCCGCCATGCTTATTCTGAAGTTTCGCGAGATTTAGCGAGTTTTCCTGTGTTCACAGTCTAGACTCTGGTTGAAAATCTGTTTGTGTAGGAGCAAAACGGTTAAATCTAGGATTTTTTCTCCTCATGTTTGTGGTCTATAGCATTTTGAAAATCTTATTAGATGTAAAAAATCCTTTGGTGTGTACCCAGCATTAATTGGTGACTAGAGCCCAACCGATATGGGTTTTTGGGGGACGATGACGAAATGAAAAAGAACCGATTTATGAGCCGATATTTTTATTTTGAAATAATCAACGATCAGTGATTTTGTATAATAGTAGACTGTACTAATTCAAATAAATACTTTGTTTTGATAGCTGAATTAACATGATTTCCTACATTGTTCTACTGAATTATTGTGACTTAAATCTGGAAAGATCAGATCAAAGAATTGATATAGCACTAACAATCTGTAGCAAACTACAGAAGTAACTAAATATTTGATGCTACAGACATAATTCAGAAAATACTAAAACAGTGTAATTTGTGTATGGTGTGCATTTTCCCACAGCAACCATCATGGCAGTAAAATAGACCACAATAAACTGCTTATTGTTATCTTGATGCTGAACAGGAAACTACTGAACAAATGAGGGACATTTGCATGAGGTTACAAGATAGTGGTGCACTTAAAATTTCCTTTCTCAAAATTGAAGAGATTGGACAATCAGCATTTTCTTTTCTTTTATTGCATATACACGCATTTATTTGTACATTCTTCATTTTAAACAGATCATTAAATCTTCTGCTTAATAAGATATGAAATTAACGGTAATTTATCCCATTAAAACATACCATTAATTTATAACTCAATACGTGATGCCTAATAAAGGTCTACGTATAGATGTAGTATTGCAGTAAGAGAATAGCTGCCAAACAGGTTAGAGCATCTCCTAAAGACCTTTAGCCACTTGTTTTTAAGCCTACATGAATAAGAAAGTATTTTCAAAGCTGGAAAGGAATCCTGATAGACAGAGCCTGGAGAGAGTCTATAAGATGAGAAAGCATTCTCAAGTGGTGACTCAACTTGTGATTTTTATAAAATGTTTATCATAATAGGCTTTGACTGTTTATACTAAATTAGTTTGGTATGTGTTGTTCACATTAACTTTGACAGACATTGTAAAATGAAAACATAAAGAAAACTGGATGGAGGATGTAGAATTGAGGACTTATTTGGAGCTTTATTGACCTGACATACTGCCAATGAGCAGCTTTTACCTGACTGACATAGTTTAAGTGCCTCAAAGCCTCATTTCACTCCCTACTTTCCCTTTTTCTTTTTTTCATTCAAAACACCAGATTTTGACCCACAATTTTTTTTTTTTTCAAATATCAGACTGTGCACAGTAGTAACAAAAGCTCTGAAAATGACTAATATCTTCAATAATATCCTGCAATCTGAAGTTGATATTGTGGGAGAAAAGTATTTTTAGTGTCACATGTCAATTTGAAATAGTATGTGTATGTGTTACAGCACTGTTGTGAAATAAAATATGTCTTACTTATTGAAGTGTTAATAATTCCACCATTTCCATAGTCAAGAAAACACTTTTATGTGTACAGCCTTTGAAAGAGAATCATGTGTGTATGTGTGCTGAACACATCAGAAAGAAAGAATTTGAGAAAGTTCCCTTTCCCACCAACACATTTCTTTGAAAGGACTTCTAATGCAATCTCCTGAAGTGCGGTAGGACGGACCAAAGCTTCAGGAGATCAGGGCCCGTATTTATCAAGCTTCTCAAAGTGCCATTTTAGTCTTAAGTGCTGAGAATTCATGAAATTTACTACTTTTAAACTTACGAATAAAAGTTATCAAATTTCTTAAAGCTAAGAATCAGTCTTACTCTCCCAGTTATTTAAGACAGCTCCAGAGTTCTCTCAAGTTAGGAGTTGCCAGTAGGGCTTGTGATGGCACTGTGGAGACAGAGACATGAGCAAATATTTCTGGAGAGGAAGAAATTCGGAATTATTTGACAACGCGCAGTTAATAAGATGGGGTCGGACAGCGCAGGCATAAACTTTGTGAGCGAGTTGAGGAGGTACGTCATCTCACGACTGACTTTACGCAGTAATGTGTTTTCAGCTAAACTGAAGGTGGTGATGACGCTTCCTTCATTTGCCACAGGAAAAACGCAGCAATGCTGATGATTTTGGCCGTCACAACCATCAATAAGCCGAATAGTCATGGAAACAATTATGGCACTTTTCATGCATTTCATTTACTTCCCAACAACAAACAACAGCAAATGGCCGGCTTCACAGGAGTAGTAGGCGCATTTGATGGGGCTCATATAAACATAAACTTTTTTTTTAAATTTATTAATGTGTAGGCCTATATCATAATGTATTCTCTTGAAAATTCTTTATTGCTAAATGTGTGTTGAATATAAACTCCTCTTAGGAATTTCACCATTCAATGTGAATTTATCTGAGAATATTCTTAGAGAAGGACATCTATTCAGTGATTGGTCCTTGGCTACATCGTCATCCAAAACCCTGTTTGTGGCACAGCAAAGTGTCGTAAATCAGCACCAAGACTGACACTTCAGATTTAGTCCTATGCTTCACTCAAATTAGGGCTATGATGCTTGATAACTAACTTTTAAGCACAGCTTTGAGCCAAGAATTTTGTTACTCTTAACTCAGTTCTTAGCAGTGTTCTTATGAGTAATTCTGAGAAGCTTGATAACTACAGGCCCTGATCTTGTGATTCAAACCTCTATGTTCTTATTTTGATGTATGTTGCTTGTGCTTATTTGACAGCTTTCTGAAAAGAGTGTGCAAGTATTCTTAAACAGCAGATCTGCAGCACATGACCTGATTCTTTGCACCACCACTATGCAGGCATGATCTATTTGTTGTAATCTCATACAGTGAGGCCTCTTGTGGGTCTTGGCCACAAACAAACTGCATCGAGGTACATCCTTACTTTCCTGTCTGCAGTTTTGCCCAATGTAGTTGTGTAAGCTCCCAGTCACAAAATTGACCTAAACAGTGAAAAAAGTAACAAGGCCAGCAAAAAGGAGAGAGAAAAGAGTTGAATCATTTGAGCCTTGAACGACATAAATTATGTAAGCTCTATGGGTGTTTTTCTGTTCTGCTTGAACCACTTAAATCCAAAAAACATATGGCGTCTATCCGCTTTCGACATGGGATTCATATTTAGATGTATCAGATTTAAACCAGAATAATAAGAGGATGGAAATTTGATTCTTTTCCCCCCTTTTCATTTTTTTTGAAGAATGAACATTTTCCCAACAAAACAGTTAATTTTTTGTGAGAAAAGCGATCCCAGTAGCTAAAAGCTTTTGTATCTTTAGGTGTGAAATTCATCAGGCCTTTAAAGGGGACCTGTCAAAAATTAGGAAATGGTAAACAACTCATGATTACTAAACAGCATGTTCTCAGACATGCGTGTTGGACTATATTAGTCTAGTCACAGGCTCTTTAAAGTACAATGTTTAAGAATTTAAGAGATTTAAGATGTTACCTTATCAACAGATTGTGACGAAGTAACAGTTCTGATATTACATCAAATACATTTATGTATTGTGTTGCTGAGATCTACTGAAGTTAACATGCTAAACAGCTAGCCCCCTCTCGTCCTGTCTCATAATACCACTTTGGGATGGGCTGTTCTCAGTGTTATAAAGAAAATCTGATCTGAGTCACAGATGAGCAAAAAAAATCTGATTTGGGTCACTTTGGCCAGCACTCTGAACACAGCATAGGTTAGCTGCACGGCTAACTGAGTTAACTAGCTAACTGTAGTTAGCAGCAGTTATGACCTGATATATGATGGGCCCCATTTTAAAGAGTTAAAATTTGACAGGTGGAGAGTAGTCTCAATTCTTACACTTTCCCCCTCAAGTGAGAATGTAGAGGATCTAACACTTCGGACAAACTGCCTATCTCTACCTGTATGTGACGGTACCCGCAATGAACTCATGCAATTTGCATGCATGTGGTGCCCACACAGACAGCGTTGCTGCTGTGGCACTGCTTTTGCTAGCTCTATCTTTCTACATTGACTTTGAATTTGATAAACACAATACAGTAAAAGCCTTGTTAACAAATTCTGAGAGAGCTTTTAATCTTAAACAGATAGAGTTGAGTGATGTCCGTGACATATTCTATAGATAACACATTGAAACTGTAATGAAATGTGTATGTTTTGCAGGTATGATGCGGATATGACTAGGAACAGATTATTTTCATTGTCTACTGTTGCTGAAAATAGGCAAAGCATTGCTGCAGGCCTGTATGACACTAGCTGGTTGCGCGGGCTGTGTGGCTGCTCTAACCTGTTAACATGGGCGCTGAAATGAAAAGCAATGACGGACATGAGCTGCTCACAGGCACTGTTGCCCAGCCATGAATTACCCTCTCCAAAAGAGAATTAACCTTTCTCTAAGCCATGCCCCCCGATAATTACTGTCACTATGCCTATCAAGCTTTCCATTTCACAAGACATACGGTAGTTTACAATGATAACAGTGGCTAATGTCTTTTATTTATTTTTGAAACAATGTTTTCAGACACAGGTTATTAACATTCAGTCTTCTGATTTCTAGCCATGCTAACATTGGCATCAGAGCAGATAAGCAAACTGTTTAATCAATGCACTTTTGCTCCTATATTTTTGGTTTTAGATTTTTAAAAAGATACCAATCCCAAATGCTGATTAATACAAAGGTGTTAAACTACAATTGGAAAATCACCATTCAGGGGATGAGGTTAGCAAATGGTCAATTGTTAATTTCAGTTCTGCTGGTGCTCTATTCCATTTTTTTTCTACACTATTTAAATCCTCACTGAGACATACAGAACCTCTTTGCAGTGTGCAGTGTCTCCTCATAAGTTTGTATGTCTGAGCATACAGATCCACTGTTCTGACCGCAGAGAGCGTCTCGGGAAAGAAAAATGTGTCTGTCAAACAGTATGGAAACAAAAACAGACCTTTGAAATGGTGCTGTATAGGTTTTCACTGTGGTGCAA